GGTCTCTTACCATTTAACTTCAAACATTTAAACATTACTCTTCAACTTCTAATCCATTTCCACTCAAATTCTAAAATTTTCATATTCAAACAACTCACACTACCTTTAAAGAATTTTGTATTGATATACACACTGGAATTAATTATGTTTCTTCCGTTGAAAAATATACTCGAATACGAATCTATTCATATAAAAAAAACTCTTTCTAATTCATTCTGTACAATTTATGGCGAATTTTCAAAGTTGACCGACAGAATTTGTTTTGTGCAAAATCTGTTGCCCGTTTTTCTGACCTTTCATCAGTTAAAAATTCATATTTTTTTGTATACACCTTGAAATTGATCCCCGTTTATTTAAAAAAACAAGATCGATATACGAACAAAAATATATAAAAATAACCTCCAAATCATTTTTATAGAATTTTTGGTGAATTTTCAAACTCACTGCCATATTCAAAATCTAAATTGTTTCCTTTAACTTCATCCTTAGGTTCTTCATCAATTCTTACAACCAATTCTTTAAAATCACTTAACTTTTCATAACCCCTAAAACAAAAGAAATCAACATCCCCTTCATCAACTCAAGATGAACTTGAACATAAACCCTAGTGATATTCATGTCAAAACGTAGCGAATTAAACATAGAACATTTTTCCTAACTACACCGAAGTCTAATTCTCAAGAAAATAGCTTCAGAAATGGGATTCACCTTGTAAGGGTTCACAGCAGCAAGGTAATGGAGAAGAAGAGTTCTTGATTTTTCTAATGATAATTATCTCTTAATACATGGCTAAATACCATTATAATTGAATTTTTTATTCAATTTAATAGAAAATTTCATTTTTTTTCCATTAATGAAACTCCATAACTACGAATTTGTCACTCTATGACATCATCCCTTACCTCATCATATCCATAAAAATATCTTAATTCTGATTTTATACTTCTATCCTTGAAATTTTTGAAAGTTGCAATTTAATCACATAATTCCAAAATTTTGGCTTAACATGGAAAATCGACCTCAATTCCATTGATCAATGTTAAATTTAACTTTTCTAAAATATATAAATAGTATTTCCAACCATTTTATAACATCCTTCAAATTTTCGTAAAATTTCAATTCGATTCGAATATTCAATTTCAATACCAACTTTACTGCTTTATAGCTTTTAACACAATTCTCGTACCAAAAATATGATTCCCACTAAAATATCTGTTTAAATCGAAACTGTTCATTTACATGCTAAAATATATATAACTTTTAAAAATTAAAATTTTGGTCCCTATACTTTTCAAAGTTTATACTTTGGCCACTAAACTTTCAAAACTTACATTATAGTCACTGGTCAAAATTTGGGGTATTACAATACTGCTGGGATTTTTAAGCTTAGTGTTCAAATGTTTTCCATTAGCATATTATTAGCTTGAGCCATTCGTAGAGCACTATCGTAGTAGGACTTCCAACATATCTTCCAGAGTATTGTATTGTAGCTTTAATGGGCATGTGTATTCATAAAACCTTACTTATGTATTTAGTTTATCAAACTTTGAGTTGTTTTATTTGTTTTAAATTATGCTTTACGGAGCTCCAATTTATAAAAGTGTTTTATAACTGTCATGTATGTCTATTTTGGTACCATTCAAATGTTGTTAAATGAAAATGAACATGTTTAAAATTCCAGTGGTTGCCTCGGCAGCCCAATGTGGCACTTTAGGTCCAATCGAATTTACGGTGTTACATTTAATCATAAATTATATTTTTATATAACATTATATTAATTTGAATGTTCTGGTCTTATAACTTTATATTAGTAGTATGAAGAAAAAAAGTAGGTTTGTTTATGATAATATTTAAGGAGAGTTTAGTTCACAGAAAAGATCATTATTAAGGGAAATAATTTTTTTTCAAATCATATACCCATGTTTAGTTTAGGAATATTCCCTCTAGGGGTTAATAAACCATTATTTCCAATAGTATTTTTTAGGTTTTTCCCAGGAATGTCATTCCCCTTGTTTTCTTAGGTATTAGTCAATTCCTCCCGTTTAGGACAAAAATAGCCTTCAAACAATATGATTATTTCAAAATGATCATTCATGTGTTCATACATACATTGATATAAATTTATTTTATTTTTTGTTGTTGTTCTAAATTTTTTAATATTTATTATAAAATATATCTATAATAAAAAGAAAATTATATTAAAATTTATTTTATTTTGAATATTTATTATGTATGTGTTTGATTTAAGTTTTATTTTTATATGTATTTTATTGGATTTATTTTTAGCTTTAACTTTTAAAAAGTTTTTATTTATTATATTTTTTACATTTTCTATTAATTTTGTCAAATAATTAGATATGGTATTTCATTGTAGAACTCATATATGTAGCATGAATAAAAAAAATGTAGCAATTAACACATTTTTACATTGGTGTAAGTGTGTACATCTTCCAATATCTTAGTGATTAACATATACTTACATCGGTGTAAGTATGTGCATCTCTAAATATCTTAATACATAAAAAATAAACACATAATTATATCGATGTAAGTAAGTTTTTATATTTTTAGAAAAATAAAAAAAATAAAAATATATATTAAGTTTTTTTCTACAAATTTTATTGAAAATATATATAAATTACAAATTATAAAATTATATTTTCTTTAAACTTTTGTGTGAATATTTTGACTTGAATACTAATAATTAAACTTGTTAAAAAGGAAAATATATCTCAAGGATAATTTAGTAAAATATATTTTTTTATTATCTTATATTCCTTCAACGAACCACTGTAATTTAATATTCTTGCCAAACAAACTAAACAAGGTAATGAATATTTTCAGTAATGTGTTAAGTAAAGTAACATTATGGTAATCTTATATTTCGTGAACCAAACTACCCTTTAGGGTATATCTTGTAATCTTAAAGCACGATAATAATATATAAAAAATATGATCAAGATTAATCTATATGTATATAGTGACAGATCTAGATATATTTATGAGGGTAAATATATATATATATAACAAATATTTTCATATAAAATAAATACAAATATAATTTTAAGATGATCACCATCAATAACAAACCCAAAAAAATTCTAATATTTTATACCATGAAAAAGCCTTGTATCCACCGTTATCAATATATTTTTTCAGTAAAATCTTAAATTGTATAATCATGATAAAAAATAATATAAATGCATTTTCATATTGGAAAAATCATCTTAGTTTTTATGAGAATAAAAAAAAACTTATCCAATATTTAAAAACTTAAATTAAGAAACACATAATCCAACTCTATTTTGAAATTCCCAGTTTAATAACTAATTAAATCAAGCACCAAACTCCAATCAAACCTATCGTGCCACTTGCTCATTTGTTTATTTTAAAAAAGAAAAGAAAATCCAAAATTGGCATTTTTTAATTTTTATTTATATTATATAGTATATACAGAAAGTAGGGTAACTATATATTTAGTACATAAACTATTATTTTGTTCTGTTTTGGTACTTAGATTTTATTTTTTTCAGAATCTTACTAACATTTACTTTAAATTTTATCTTGATACCTCACCGTTAAAATTTAATGATGATATCGAAGCGTTAGCATAAGATAATTTCATATCATTATTGAAAAATATTACATAAGTAGTTTTGTTAATTTTTAATAGTGGTGTGTCAAATTAAAACCTAAACTTAAGGGTGAGCATTCGATCAAGTCGAGTTGAGTCAAAATATGTTGAGTTATTCGAGTTGACGAGTCGTATTTTATCACTCAAACTTAACTTGAAATTTATTTCGAGTTGAGTCGAGTTATTCGAGTCTCAATACTAATTTTATTATAAATATTTATAGTATTATGGCAAGGATTTGTGTCAATTTTTCTACTTTCTCTAATCATATAAGATATACATATTATATTTTTCTCATTATAATGTTATTTAATGTATCCAATAAAATTATAAAATATATTCATAATATTATATTTTAAAGAAAGTATTTTGAGGGTAAAATATTGATAAGAGTATAAAGGACTGAAGGAATTGATAGGAAGAAAGAATTTGCAAACAATTATAGTCAAAAGACCAAATTGAGAAAATAAAAAGTTAAGGGACTAAATAAAAAAGAGAGATTACATTTTTAGTAAAAAAAAAGTAAGAATTGAAGTTACATAGGTATTCTATTGTGGTGTATGAGCATGTGGTTCAAATTGGATAAAAACATACTTAAAATAAAGAATGATTTGAAGAAATAAGAAAATTATGAAAACTTAAGGGATTAAATTGAAAAATAGAATTTTTTTATAAAAAAGAGGAAATTGAAGTATATATTTATTTTACGATGATTTAGGAGCATATGGTTCAAATTTGGTAAAAACGAACTTAGAATGATGGAGGAATTGAAAGAATAATGAAATAGGGAACTAAATAGTAAAACTATGAAAATATGTAGTCAAATATTTGGTTTTTTTAGTAACTCAAAATTTCAACTCGACTCAAACTCAAAAACTGAATTGGTAATTCGAGTTAACTCAAAAAACTCGAATAACTCAAAATTGAAAAAAATTGATTTTTTTTAGTCAAGTCTAGTTTTGCTCACCTCAACCTAAACTAAATGTTAAGTATAATTTTGAAAAAAAATGATTGAGCATCAAAATATAATAAAAGTAATAGTATAGGTATTAAAACTGTAGTTTACCCTAGAAAGTAAAAAAACCAAAAAAAATCGATTAAATTGTCTGGGGAAAGAAACAGCTTTATTAATATGTTGCCTTTTCTTTATCTGACCTCTCTACTTCCAAACAGCCTTTCATAGTAATGATTCCATAGCCCCCTTTCTCCCTCACCTTCCATCTTTTTCTCTGATCAAAACCTTCTTCCAAAAACTCTGAAAAATGCCAACAAATATATATATATATATATATATATATATATATATATTAACATAGATTTGTTCATGCTTTGATTATCATTGTCGTGCTTTTTCTTCTTTGTCTTTCTCTGTGTATGTAAAGTAAGAAACCCTGCAAAATATACAGCAGTGGGTGCAGAAAATCCAGTCTCAGATCCCGATATACTGCATCTCTCTTACACCATTAACGAGATACAAGCAAAAATCTCTCTCTCTCTCTCTCTCTCTCTCTCTCTCTCTTCCATTAAAAACACTCTCAAAGCAAAAGGCTCTTTCTTTGTGGTCCTTGATGCTCATTTCTTTATACATATATACAGCTTTCCTTTTGTAGGTTTGTACATATATTTGCTTTTGGGGGGTGAGATTGTGTTATAGGCCTTTGTGGTTCAAAGAAATGCAAGACATGATGAGTAGTGGTGGTGCAATTGGACGGCTTAGCAGCGGCGGAGAAGTGGCTATTTCCGGTGACCAGAACCGTCAGCTGAAGGCTGAGATAGCTGTTCATCCGCTTTGTGAGCAGCTTCTAGCGGCTCATGTTTCTTGTCTCCGTGTGGCTACACCAATCGACCAGTTGCCTTTGATTGATGCTCAGTTAGCACAGTCTCATAATCTTCTTAGGTCATATGCTTCTCAGTATCACCAACAGGGCCATTCGTTATCTCCCCATGAAAGACAGGAGCTTGAAAACTTCTTGGTTTGTCTGATATTTCGCGGGTTTTTTTTGTCTGATTTGAGATTTTTTTTGGTACATGGGGAAGTGGTTTTGTTGTTTATGATGGAGGTTTTGTATCTGGTTTGTTGCAGGCACAATATTTGGTAGTGCTGTGTACTTTCAAAGAACAGCTTCAACAACATGTCAGAGTCCACGCCGTAGAAGCTGTTATGGCTTGCCGTGAAATTGAAAATAACTTACAAGCTCTTACTGGTTTGTCCCCCTCTCTTCTCTCCCTTTCCTAATATTACCATATTTTGTTTCCTAGGGATAAAATAAGACATATATTGGGTAAAATTGCTTTAATTATGTATTTATTATATATTTAATGTCTCCATCATTAGCTGGTTTTGGATAGAATCATACTTTTCCTCTGCTTGTTTCTTGAAGATAATAATTAATAATGCTTAATTGTTCTCTCGTCTTGTTTGGTGTTGTGATGCGGTTGGTGATGATTTCTGGTGTTTCTTTTCTTGAAAGAGATGCTATTGTTTTATATGATTTTTGCTTCAATAATCAATTTGAACTTCATCTCCTCCTACATGTTCATTCATATGACTTGTTTGTTCTAACCACCATCCATACCAAGCATTATTATAGATGTTAATATTATCTTTCTGAAAAATTCATAAACAAACTACAAGGTTGGGTTTAAGGGGACTATGATATCTGCGGCTTCTTCATTTTCAACTCAAAAACAACCCTCTTTTACATACATATATTATAACAGTACGAACTAAAAGGTTTTAATGATTAATAAATTGATATTATTTTTTAAAGATTTTAAATTCAAGTACGAGGCTTGAAGTGTATGAATAATTATTGTCAAATAATTAAAAAAACTTCAAATAAAAAATATCTTATATTAATCTTAAATATAAGGATAAATTACAAATTTTATCTTTACTTTTTCAAATATTTTGGTCAATAAATTTAAAAAATTTTAATTTTCTTACTAAATTTAATACGTTGGATTTCTTTTATCACTGAATTTTACTCTTTTACACTAATTTTATCACTTCACCGTTAAATATTTAACGGTGTTAAAAACGATATCATTTTAAAAAAAATTCACAAGAACAAAATTGTTTAACATTTATATAATATTTTATTTTAATATCGTTAATTATTTAATAATTAAGTGATAAAAAATATAAAATATTAAATTCAGTAAAAAATTAAAAATTTAAAAATATAATAATTAAAATAAAAAAATAAAATTTAATTATCAAATTTATAATATAATTTAAATATAAATAGATGCATGACATGTGTGGGAAAGTGGTTAAAATAGAAAAGGTTTAATTATGGGGGTTGTCAGTTTGATGGAGGGTCTGCCCTAGCTATCTAGATACCTACCTATACATTTAGTATGAATGGACTAATCTTTGTTGTTGCCTCATTTATTATGAGTGGGACAAGTGTCCCCTCAAATTTTATACATGCTTTTCCTCAAAGTAAGTTAACTTGAAGGTTAAACAAAGTGATAGTTGTAATTTTTTTAACCTTTATTTAATTAATTGAATATTTTGAATATATAAATACTTTCTTATAAATAGATTAAAAAAATATTACACGTTTAGAATGTAATTTTGTATAAAGTCTACTCTCAAAACACAACATAAACTTGTGTGCAGGAGTTAGCTTGGGGGAGGGTACAGGTGCAACAATGTCAGACGATGAGGATGAGATGCAGATGGATTTTTCTTTGGATCAATCCGGCAGGGAAGGGCATGACTTAATGGGTTTTGGTCCCTTAATTCCTACTGAATCCGAAAGGTCCTTGATGGAGAGGGTCCGTCAGGAGCTCAAGATTGAACTCAAACAGGTCATTTCTTGTTTTCTGTTTTCTCAGTCAAGTCAAGTCAAACAGGATCAGTTTTTTTTTTTAAATAGAGAAATGGATTTATAAAATCTTAAAAGATAAAAATATATTATTCAATAAAAAATTAAATAAAATATTTAAAATATAAGGAAAAGTATACAAATGAACTTTCGATTATAAAGTTTTATTTTATTGATTCTCTCAACTATTGAAAGTTACAAAATGATTCATTCAACTGTAGGTTATTTATTTGTTGAGTCTCTCGACAATTAAAAGTTATAAAATAGTCATCCGACTATTCATATGTTTCACAAGTCTTTTTCTGTTAAAAATTGACAACATCTGAGCCAGTCGTTGACACGGTGACTAAGATATGATAATAATTTGAGATTTTGGAATCAGATTTTATCATATCATAACTATCAAGTTAACGTACAACTCAAAATATTGTCAAATTTTTAATAGAAAATAACGTGTTAAAAACACATGAATAGTCAAATGATCATTTTGTAACTTTTATTAGTAAGAAGACTCAACAAAATAATATTCTATAGCCGGGAGATCATCTTATAACTTTTAATGATCGGGACTTAACAAAGTAACGTTCTTTAGTCAATGGATCATTTGTGTAATTTACCCTAATATATATAATAATTTGAAAATTTTAGAGAGTGATGGCCTCCATATGCTTCCATCGATCCATCCTAGAATTGAAACACGTGTTTGGTAAGAGAGAGAAGTAAACAGTAACACAATATGTAATGTCCATACATGCAGGGTTTCAAATCAAGAATTGAGGACGTCAGGGAGGAGATTTTAAGAAAAAGAAGGGCTGGGAAATTACCAGGTGACACAACCACTGTGCTCAAAAACTGGTGGCAGCAACACTCAAAGTGGCCATACCCGACTGTAACCAATTAACTTCAATTCCCAATGCTCCATTACTTGTTTCATTTCCATTGACATAACAAGAGTGTTATTAGTTGAGGTTCATAAGGTATGATAATGAATGAATGCAGGAAGATGATAAGGTCAAACTTGTGGAGGAAACAGGATTGCAGCTAAAGCAAATCAACAACTGGTTCATCAATCAAAGGAAGCGCAACTGGCACACCAACTCTCAATCTGTCACCTCCTTGAAGTCGAAACGGAAAAGGTAGACGCACAAATGATAAATGGAGAAGATGATCGTTTCATCATGTTGATGTGAATCTCTTGGGGGTAAATAGCTGTGGGCTTATGTAAGTGTAATAGATTTGAGTATCATATGGCTTACATGTAAGTAGAGATTTAAATTGCGGTTGTGGTCATATTTTCGGTTGCGTTGCATTTATCGTGATTACGGACATAGCGGACGTTATTGTGGTGATTGAGGGTATCACGATATGCGATAACAGTTGAAGACCACACCACTACTGCTATATAACGGGTGCTATTACGAGCGTACCTCTGTTTAAATCTCTGTATGTAAGTGTGTAGATTCAAGTTTCTAACAAAGTAAGCATACTACTACCTGCCTGACCTCATTTTCTTTGGATATTTCTCAAATTTTTAATATTAATATATCTCTGTTTCTTTATGTTGTTATTCTGATATTTTAGAATTGGAAAATTACACTAGTTCATAGGAGAACAACCATTGAAACTTTTACGGTTTCATCATAGAATTGATCAGACAAATACAAATATCCTACAAACTATGTAATCTCAGTAGTTAAAAGATTAATGTTATTGCTTGATATATTGAGTTCCAATACGATGTCTGTAGCGATCTCGCACTGTTTTCTCATTCACTGTTTATGTTTGGGGTAGTTTTGTAAGATATTATCGCAAGGAAAAGAAGGGTGGAAAACAATCGGAATCAGCCATGTGAGAAATAGTTGGATTTCTCGGGATTATGCAGGGAAATGCATGAGATAGGAGAGACATTAAAGATATGTGCAAAGTAGGCAAATGATTGCTCGATTCTCCTCACTATTAAAAATTATAAAATGATTTCTTAATTATATGATATTGTTTTTTTGAGTCACTGACCATTAAAAGATTTAAAATGGTCGATTGATTATTTATATGTTCGAAACTTGTCATTTTCTGTTAAAAAGTGTATGACAGCCTGAACTAGATGTTAATTTACTGACTGAGATATGGTAAAATTAATCACATAATCTCAAACGACTAACATATCTCAATCATCATATTAGCGTCCAACTCAGATTACCGTCATTGTTTTAACGTCCTATAGTCGGAAGATCATTATATAACTTTTAATAATTGAAAGACTGTCGTAATGTCCTGAAAAATTGAAAAATAATTTTAGGGTTTGTTTTGACTAAAATTGGGTTTTCCTTTAAAAATCAAATGTATGGTCTGAGAAATCACTACTAATCATTGTTTAGGGTGTGATTGGATTACCATAAAAATATTTCGCTGTTCTAATAAAATTTAATTTTAAAAATCATTATAATAACGTTTTGGTATACTCTAAAAAAAAGGGGTTCGAGAGTCGATTACGTGGTGGGAAGGGTTAGCACCCCACAACGCCCGAAAATTGATACCTAGATGATTAATTATTGTCTTCGCAATGAAATTTATGAATTCAAATTTTAATTTAATTAATGATCATTTTTTAGTTAAATAAATACAATGTTATTTAAACCGATTAATATTTTAGAGAGAGATTAACAATTCGTACATTTAACTAGAGAGAGTTAACCATCTAATATAAGGTAGAGTGGCATCCCTCTATTTTCAAACTAAAGTGGTGGGTTATCATTATTTCTTCTCAAAAAATTTAGGTTAAATTTCGGCACTTCAAACCAAAGGGAAATATCGCCTAATATAAGGTAGAGTGATGATTTTTCCTTATTTGGAAAGAAATAGGAAATATCATAATCAAACATTGCATTTATTTACCTAAAGTTATACGACAAACAAAAGTTTTATTAACGAAAATAAACGGGCCTTTAAGATAGATAGAGAATGTTCAAATATTTATAAGTATCGAAACTAAACCTCCGAATAAGGTCGAGAGGCTTATTTTAGATAAATCTAAATATGAGAGCATCTACCCTCATGATCGATTTGAAGATATTATTTTTTATGCTTTCACTTGAGGATGCCCATTCAATTAAATTGTTTAATTAAAATGTCCAAGTTTATCATGATAATTCTCTTCGATAATTTAAATTAAATGTGTATTGTCTTTTAATTTATTATTGAAAAATATTGAGTGATGCGAATGAGACTATCAAGCTTATAAGAATAAATAAAATTGTCATGCAAACAATCAATATTAACCATTTTAAATATGGATTAGTCATGCTCGAATTATTAATCAAATTAATTAGCCATGTTATTTTAAAAAATAACACGTACACATATGTCACTAAAATAATTAAAATTAATAGTAACTAATAATTATCCTAAAAAAATTTAAAGATAGTACACATGAAATAAAACATGGCATAGATAGCATAAATTAATTACTATAAATCAATAAAAATAGTGAATATAAAATAGGACTTAAATGCATTAAGATAAAAAGTTACAAGGACCTAATTGCAAATTATATTATCTATTTTAGGGGTTTTAGTATTAAATTGCATAGTCTTAAAATTAAGGAGGATCATGGACATGATTTCCCCTAAATTCCTAAAAAAGAGCGATTTAGAAGGTTTCTAAGCCGAACTAGTTCTCTTGAATCGACCCCTATTTAAGCCCTTTTACCCTATTTTTTTTCATTTTAACAATTCTCTAAAAGAAAAACCCTAAAAGCTCTCAAAAATTCTCTCAAAGCTCCGCCCCTCTCTGATTAACACCTCCTTTTATAGTGCTAATTTGAGATATTTTTATTCGAATTTATGCAGGACTCTATTTTACAGGAAATAACAATTAAAAGGAAAATTGAGCATATTTTTCTATTTATTTGAGAGAAGTCAACACCAACTCAGATTTAAAGATCGATCCAGGCGCAAACTCTGATTAAATAATCCAAGTAGCAAGATCAAAGGAGGAAAACAAGGCGAATCACAAGTCCTCAGGAATTAAAAGTTATAATTGAATTTAAACATTTGATATTTATTATTTTATTAGCAACTTAGTTTATTATTATTTAAGATTTTTGTTGAACCATTTTTTCTAATGTTTTGATATAATAAATTAAAGTAAAATGTTTTTGGACTTGAATTAAATTTATTCAAAGTTTTTAAAAATAACTAAAAGTAAATTTGAGTACAAAACTGATTTTTACGTACGTAGTACCGATATTGTTCTTACAGTATCGATACTATATGAACAATACCGATATTGTTCATGTGGTACCAATACCCTAGGTAAGAGAAGTATCGATACTCTCTAGGTATTACTGGTACTACTAGCATTGCTCAAATTCCAAAATTCAAAAATGGTACCGATACCCAAAGGGGTACCGATACTACTTTACATAGAAGTATCGGTACCATAGGCTTAGTATCGATACCATCAGGTCCAACGGCTAGTAACGACTAGTTTTATTTAAAAATAACAAATGTACTATCGATACTCCCTATAGGAGTATTGATACCCTCTGTACTGAATAGTTTATTTTTGCAGAGAAAACATCCCAAACGGCTAGAAAACATCCTCAACGGCTAGACCATAAACTCATTCCAACATATAAATACAAGTTCAAGGCACTTAAAGAAGGGTTAGAATACCTACCCAAGCAATCAAACACAAGAGAAGAGTTTTTCACTCTTTATTCCTATTATCTTGTAAATATTTTGTTCTTATGAACTTTAATTCTTTGTAAACAACTTCCTTTTTAGAGATTTTATTTGTTTACATATTTTTCCTTGTAAAGGGTTTTTGGTTCTAGTTGAGCCTGTTAAAAGCTAGAGAGTTTTGTAAAGGTTATCTTTTTGTCCTTGAAAAAGAAAGAACAAATTAGTGAATTTGTTGGAAAATCCTTAGTGAGGAGCTAAGGTAGTGGAGGTAGACTTAGTTGAGAAGTCGAACCACTATAAATCGATGTGTCAATTTTTCTATCTTTCTAATCTTCTTACTCCATAAACACAAAAATCAATTCAACCCCTCTTGGCAAACATTTTCGGTTGATCTTTGAGCTTCATCAATCCCAAAATTTTTTAATATTTATTAATTAGGATTTTTTGTTTGTTAGAATTACGAGTTTGAATACTCTTAAGAGTTAGTAATTTATTTTCTTTAGGCTTTCTCAAGCTATAAATACCCGTCAGGGTAAAGCTTGACAGATGTACAAGTTTAGAACTCAGTATAGACCTGGTTCTGGTTTTTATTGTGTTTTAGGTTTTCAGTTTAATAAAATTACTTTTCTTCTTCATTTGTTTTCTTTCTACACACCAAGCATGATCTCTACCATGTTTGGCTAAACTTTTCTTTAGTTGATAGCTAAGCGAAGACTCGATCCATTCTCATGAGAATTGCAAAAGCGCTTCACATCTTCAGATTTCTTTCTTGGTTTTCGGTAGACAAGGGGAGACAATCGACCTTCCTTCAAACATCTTAACATCTTCAATCCAAAGAATTCACATTGGTTTGACCGAATTTTTGATATACGGTTGGGGAGAAGAATCGCCTTGTAGCAAGTTCAATTCCCTAAGAACAAACTTAGAGGCGGTTCACTAAGATAAATTAAGATCAGGTTCGATTCTCATCGAGACACCATAATTCGAGCACAAGCTTCTCCAGTTCCTAAACATCATTGACATTAATATCGATAACCAATATTAATCCAAACAAGGACTAGATTTCAAGGATTGACTTTGGAAATTAGTTCACCAGAGAGAAGAGAAAGTTACAAGGGTTGGACCTTGTACATTATAACCGCCAAGTATCTGAAGTAAAATCTATTTCAGTGATCGAGACGGATTGAGGCGAAGCAAAGAAAGTGGCTATCTCTTATCTTAATTAAATTTTGCTTTTACTTTAGTTTTATTTTATTTAATTTACTTGATTATTATAAACCACATTCTTTTTATTTTTCTTATTTTACATATTTCTTGGTTAAAGATCAATTTAGATTGATATTAGAAATTTTCGAATCCCTATGGACCGATACCTTTCTTCTCTATGTTACGTTCTTGGCATAATTGTCTGCTAAAAAGGAATAATTATTTGACAATTACTATGCTTGTCAGCCATCCACCATTCACAGTGGTAAGAGAACCCAAAACCTAGTCCATTCAAATCCCCTCTTCGACCTAAACCCAAATCTGATGACCAAAAACCACAAAACCTCCTAAAATATCTCAGGTCTACAACCAAATATCTGAATTTTACCTTTCCTTGATAACCCTGAAATGTATTACTTTTTCACTGACACCATTACAAAGAAAAAATGGGAAGTATTTTTTAGCTGGCCCCGTGTGATGTACTTGAGATAGTTTGGGAGTTTTATAGTCATGTAACTTCTAAAGACTAACCAACTTGGTGTACATCCGAGATAAGATTGTGAATTGGTGGCCAAACGCCATTAATAAATATTTTGGCATTGCTACAGCAGTGGATAAGCACTACAAGT